ATATAATCTTCGATATTATGACTTGATTCTCTTGACCTTTAATTTAGAGCCACATAGTATTACATAATATTCCTTGAATATTATGCACTTGTTAAATCATAACAGATTTAACAGAATCACTTCAGCTCAAGCGCGATGTCGTATGCTCCTTCATAGGATATCTTATTCGACATGTTGTTCTAGATGTTAAAACACTTCAACTCAACATGTCCCAAACATAAGATCGGACTTCTTGCTCAACCTGCTCTTGTTAGCAAATTAATATATCATATCCAACATATTGCTGCTTTATTTGTTTTACAAAAAATAATGCCAATCCTAAAACTAGAGAACTTATAGAGGCTTTAGAGAGCTGGGCGATTTTGGATATTTTGCTGAAGCAAGGTGGCGTTGTGGCTGTCACGTGGGCCTAAAAGAGATTTTCGCCCGGCCAGGCTTTTGGCTGTCGGGCGAATTTTCCTGGGCAGTCTGTTTGTATAGCACCGTGTTAGATATTTTTGGGAAATTACATATTTTACACTCTTTGTGACCTAGTAAAAGTTTGTAAGCAAGAACAAAGAAAAAATTTCATTTAATAATCAAAGTTGGATTCACATTCTTGATTCTGCAAACATGTTGGATGCTCTTCCATCTCTCTATGATTACTTGTTGATCAAGCTACCATGGTGATGGGTAGCTAAACTCTTTTATGTCAATATTTGAGGTAGTTAACCTATATATTATGTATTTCTTTTGATTCTTTGTGTATGAACTTGGTTGATGATCAATATATGATGAATATCCTTGCCTTTATTGTTCTTTGTTTGATTTGAATCATTATTGAAAAGTATGTTTCAAAACTTGACCTAATATATTCATCTATCAATAAAAAAAATTTAGACATAGATTAGTGGGTTGATATTCATTTGTATCAAGCTCTAAAGATTATTGGGTTGATCGGTGGTAAGAGACATCATCTAGTAATTAACATGGTACTGAAAGGATACATGATTATATTGATCAAGATTAAGTCTGTATGCTTGATTAATCGAATATGTATGAAATAGGTTAACAGAAACTAATCTTGACATGCTTTTTAATCTGTAAAACCAGAACTTTTTACCGTTGTTAAATCATTTTCATGCAGTCGAAACTTTCTGATACCAAAATCTTTTATAAACCCTTACTCAAAACATTATTAATTGTAGAACAACAGCAATATTGCCTCAATCCCTATGGAAACGATAAATAAAATACTTATCTTGTAAAAGTGTTTCAACAAAATTGCGTCGTTGCCAGAGATTGGCGTATATATTACAAGCATTGCAATAGTTTATTATTTTGAGATATAGTTACTAATACACTGATATTTCCTAATATTTGTTCACTTGTTTGACTAGTGTTTTAGAATTCTGTTTATGCGAGGAAATGTACTTGAAGATCAACTCCTTTTTGATCCTGAGTTTGAAAGGGTTGTTTATAGACTTAATAGCAAAACTAGAAGGAGAAGAAAGTTATCCAAGGAAAGGAAGCAAGGCGAAGAAAATTCTACTTCTTTAACACCTCAACAACCTGAAGAAGTCATGGCAAGAATACCACCACCAAATCCCAACAGAGGGCCATGTACTAATAGTCCGAGGAGAAATGCTCAGTTTTCTAAAAATGCTAAAAATCAAGGCATTCCGAAATGAAGATCATCATACTTCAAATTTTGTATGCAAATCCTTTTACCGGTCTTGATCATGAAGACCCATACACTCATCTCACAATGTTCTACGAGACTTCCAGCGCACTTAGAGCTCTAGAAGTGGAGGAACAACAAGTGTTCAAGAGACTCTTTCCATATTCGTTGATTGAAAAAGAAAATGATTGATACCTTGACCAACCCACTCAACCTCACATTCTGAAGAATTGATTCTAGGCGACAAATATGAACCTGTCATAGAGCCTACAGCTGTAAATGAAGTGCTTCTTGACACATAATGGATTTTGCCAATTCAAGAAGAGTTGAATCAATTCTCCATCAATGATGTGTGGGATCTTATCCCTAGACACAAAGGAACTCATGTGATTGAAACCAAATGGGTGTTAAGAAACAAACTCAACGAAAAATGAGAAGTGGTAAGAAACAAGGCTCAACTGGTTGCACAAGGTTATAGTCAGCAAGAAGAAATTGACTATACAAAAACCTTTGTACGAGTTTTCAGGTTAGAGTCTATTCATTTCTTAATTTCGTTTGTTGTTAACCACAATATCATCTTGTATCAGATGAATTTTAAGATTGTATTTCTGAATGGCTACATAACTGAGGAAGTGTATGTACACCAACCTCCTGGTTTTGAAATTCATAAAATACTTTTATGTACACCAACCTCCTTTTATTGTTAAAGACTTGGACAAATTTGGAAACTTTGGAAAATTTCAACCCGATCCACAAGCAATTATAATACGACCATAATTGATTATGCTCTAGAAAATAAGAAAGGTTTTGCTTGGATTCAATAATTATTTACTAGGCCTTCATAATCGATTACTAAATAAATGCCGCCTAATAATCAATTACACAACAATCATAATCGATTATACTTAGTTTTAATAAGTTTCGGCAAGTATTTTTCAGAAGAAGTTTGAAAAGAGATGAAGTTTCAAAAAATATTTTTGTGTTTATGTTTGTGTGTGTAATTGTAATACCCTAATTTTCTAATGACCACACTTCTCATGTGAAAGTGGATGAGTGGCACATTATCAATAAAAAATTTCATGGTTTGAAGTATAATACGTGGAATGCTATTGATGAAGAGTTGAGCAGAGAAGAGATTACAAAGGCTCTGATTGCTACGGCCCCTTGGAAATCTCTTGGTTCTGATAGATTTCCTGCGGGCTTTTACCAAAAAACATGGAGCAAGGTAGGAAACAAAATGTGTGTTTTTGTGTAAGATTTATGGAAGGACCCGTCTAAAATTGTTGATGTTAATCACACTGATCTATGTTTAATCTCTAAAGTGAGTAATCCTCAATTAGTTTCACAATTCCGGCTCTTAGCATTGTGCAACATGATTTACAAGTTGATGAGGAAGTGCATTGTGCATAGATTGCAAAAGGTGGTTAATAAGCTTGTCTCCTTATCAAACATGGTTCATAGCTGGTAGAAGCATTCAAGACAACATTATTGTTGCTTAAGAAATTCTACACAGTATGCATGTGATGAAAGGGAAAAAAGTTTGCTTTGTGATGAAGATAGATTTAGCCAATGCATATGATATGTTGAATTGGAGTTTTGTTTCCAAAGTGATCATGGAAATTGGCCCCCCCAACAACATATTTCAGGTTATCATGACTTCCATAACTACAGTCAATATGACAGTATTATGCAAGAGACGAAAAATAGTTACTTTGCAACTCATAAAGGGTCGATAAGGAATTGTTCAGTGTTGGCTACGGAATTATGGGGCATCCTTGAAGGTGTCAAATTATACAACAATAACAACAATCGCAGAAACTTGATAATTCAAACGAATTCAAAACAAGCTCGAGACAAAATAATGAAGGCACAACAAGGGAAGGAAACTGGATTAACTTTGGTTCGACAAATCCACAATGAGTTGAAGGAGAAGGGAGACTTAAGGGTGTAATCAGATCGGTTGAAGGTAAAAAAAAGTTTGAACCGATGATATATCAATCAGTTTGGTTTGATTTGGTTTTTAGCATTTTTTAAAAATGGAATCGAACCAAACTAATCAGTTTGGTTTGGTTCGGTTGATCGGTTTACAATTTTTTTTCAAACATTATATTCATCAGGCTATTCTCCACTATTCATGTTCTATTTTTTTAAACAAATTACAAGTTATTCTTAATCCCTATGAAACAGTGACATGATTTCCGTTACATCATGAAATAATTTCACTATTAAATATCAAAGTCAACACTTAGACATCAGAATATTAGAAAGAGATTTAAAAGCTTAACACATAGAACACAACAAAATACACATCAATTAGCATGTTTCACACCTCAAACACACGTCAAAACTATTTTGTAATAAGAAGGAACTTTGTTGAATAAAAAGAAACAAAAAAGGTAAAAAAAAAATAAAAATTAATGAAGAGAACTTGAAAACGAAGAAACAAAGCAAAATATATCATGATGACACTAGTGAGAGCAACAAATGTTGCGGGCAGTGAGAGTAGCAATTCAGTAAAAGAAAGTTTTTTTGTGACTTATGTTTTCTACTTTCTATGTTTTGGAGTTTAGTTTTAGATGTGTGTTTTGCTTGAAGTGTAAACAAAGATGAAGAATGATTGGACCGATACAAAATTTGAGCTTAATGATAGATAGAATAAAAGATTTAAAGTGTAATTATTTCTATTGGTACGTTTCAACGGTTTGGCCGTTACTAAAAACTAAAATTGAGAACCGAACTAAACCACATTGATTTTTATTGATTCGATTCGATTTTAAAACCGAACAAAAAAAATCGATTTCATTTCAGTTTAATTTGATTAGAATTATCGATTTAATTAAATTTTTCTAATCTACTTACACCTCTATAAAGAGTATATATGTAATAATGTATGCAGACAGTGGAATCGTTGCAGAACACTTTAGTTAAAGTAGAACTAAGGAGTTACATAGGCATTCAAATTTATGATTCTTGTTCTAAAGAGGTAAAGTACTTGTATGAGAAGGAGACGAAGAGTACCAATATGAAGAGATATTTGATATAAATTTATACTAGTTGATCTCAACACTAAATAAGGTGTTTTCGAAGAAACATTAATAGAAATTAACCACAATATTCACAAAAACTAATTTGTATTAAAAATATATTACAATGTAAGAATTATTTTCATTGGTGTATAAATAATTCACAATGTAAGAATTTTTCTTCAACTCGTGCGCTTTTTATTCCAACCAACACGCAACTATTCTCTCACATTTATTTTCTTTTCTTTTTTACATGATAGAACGAATAATCTGTGACTTAATAATCTGTGCTTGACATTGTGTGACAAAGAAAATCAATGGCCTCAGCCAAAACTTTTGCTTTTGAGGAAGTTTCCAAACACAACAACAAAAAAGATTGCTGGATTATGATCCATGGAAAGGTCTCTTTTCAACACTCTCTTTTATTATTGTTTACTCTTATTATTACAAGTTAATTTCTTGATCTATTTTCATGGTTGATTTGTTTCAATTGCATGTGCACATATCTAACCAATTTTTTCATCAAACATTATCTAAGATTTAACCACATTTTTATGATATTGTTACTTGCATTGCAAGGTTCGTTAGCTAAGAACAATAACAATAATTTTACCGCGGATCAAACGAAGAAGATGAATCATCATTCACTCGGACAACGGATATATCATTGTTTCAATGATTTTTGTCTATATCATTCCAATGATGTGTTGTGTTGTAGGTGTATGATGTGACATCATTTTTGGATGATCATCCAGGTGGTGATGAATCTTTAATTTCAGCAACAGGTAATAATTAACTTCTCCTTGATGATTGTTTGAGTGGCATTGGTTCATAACATTAAGATTTTGTATTTTTATAGGAAAGGATGCTAGTGTTGATTTTGAAGATGTAGGCCACAGTGACTCTGCAATAGATATGATGCACAAATACTTTATTGGGATGGTCGACACGTCGAACAAATCTCCGACTGAAGTTGACTCCAATCCGCCTCCGCGCCCGCCTACGCAAGCACGCAGCAATAGCGATCAGTCCTCCGGTTTTGTTTCAAAGGCATTGCAATTTCTGTTGCCGTTACTGATATTGGCATTTGCATTTGCCATGCAGTATTATGGAAAAAAGAAACAAGTCAGTGATGCCTAAAATATGAACATTGGTTTGTGTATCAATCGAATTCGTTACTCTAGCAAACACTATACTAGCTGATCATTTAGACTCAATTGGTTTAATATCTTGTATTTGAATATTGTGAAATGGATTTTATAAAGATTATTGATTAGTTTACAGATTATGCTTAACAGACCAAGTCTGTTGTCTAGGACCTTGTTGTTTTGTTACAGATATGTCACTATTGATAATCAAATGTTGTTTGGACAAAGTATTTTTCGGCCTTTAAGCTTCTGTCACCGTAGGGAACACCACTAATATGTTTGTGTACAACTCTGACTTTGTTTCATTGGCTTTTGCATTCAAGATTGAACTTCTGCAACTGTTAAGTTAAAATGGAAATTACAAAAATTAATAATTAGTCATTGATGTTAGTGTACAAGGTTAATAAATAAATAAAAAATGTATGAGAAAATAATATTAAAACTCTGCAATGACGATTATAAAGTTGTAAGGAAGAACGATTGAACATTTTTATGACAGCTACCACTAGTCTATTTATACATAAAGTAAATTGTCATGTAGGCCATAACAAAAATAAATTTAATAACTAAACAAACTAAACTTAATAGGTACGCTAACAAAAGAACTAGAACTTCATAAGTAAAACATACTTCTGGGCATAACCTCAGAAGCTTCTTCTTCTGACTAACAACCTCAGAAGCTTTACTGCTTCTGAGTAACACTGCTTCTGACTGACAACATTAGAAGCTTCTGATTTTAACAACAACTTCTGAATATGAATTACTTCCAACATCATCCGTTAATTCATATTCAGCTAACTAAAAAACTACAATCAATTTCATCCCTCAAACAGATAAAGTATTCATTCTTGACATCCTTCAGCAGAACATCTGCAAGTTGCTTCTGGTTGCTACAATGTGCAACTCCATTCAAAAAGGCAGATTTCACCTTGAAGACCCATCTGACACTGATGTTTTTCTTCTCCTTCGAAAGCTCAGTTAACTCCCAAGTCTTGTTTCTTTCAATAGCATCAAGCTCTTCTTTCATGGCCTTCAGCCACACTTTCTTCTTGAGAGCTTCACAGGTTGACAACGCAACCACCTGTTGCTTCTTGGAGCACCAAAAAATAGGACTTTCAAGATACAAACAAAAATATCCAGAAGTATTTCTTCTGTCAACTCTGTCTCCATACAAATCAAAGTCTGAATAACATATCAGTTATGAGTCTGATTTAACACCAGAAGGAAATTTCACTCCATACCTTATAGTCTCTTCAGTATCTTGCATCTTGTCAAACTATGCAAATCTCCTTGATATTTGTCTGATTTGTCGTAGTCTTTAGACTTGTTCAGAATCTCCTTCTGATTCTGGAACAATATCTCCTTCTGAATTTTCTTCAGAAGTTTGACTATCACCAGAAGCTCCACCTTTGTTAGCTTCTGGACCTCGTCCAGAACCACTACCTTAAGAAATATCAACTTCAAAAATTTGATCGTCTTCAGAAGCTCTTCCTTCAGAAGTTCCTCCTTCAGAATCATGACCACCATCAAAGGCTGGACTACCTTTAGAAGCTCCTCCTTCAGAAGGTCCGCCTTCAGAGACATGATTACCACCAGAAACATGATCATCTTCAGAAGCTTGTCCTCCAGAACCTACGTCTTCAGAGTTTTCCCTTCTAGAAGCATGATCACTACCAGATTCAAAATCTGGATCAGAATCAGATTCACCATCTAACTCATCTTTAGAGTCCCTAGAAGATTCTTCATCTCTTGACTTTAGCACTTCGTCATAACTTTCAAGTTCTGACTCATCTTCAGAAGCATAATCTTCTTCAGATTCTGACTCATCTTCTGATTCTTATTTTGACTCAGAATCACCTTCGGATTCTGACTTGTCTTCAGCTTCGGAGTAATCTTCTAACTCTGACTCATCTTCAGAAACCTCAGATTCTGACTCATCTTCAAAATCTTCAGCGTCATCTTCTGATTCTAACTCATATTCAAACAATCCTTCAGAGTCAGAATATTCAGAGTCATCTTCTTCCCTTTCAGAATAAAAAATTGAAAATCTCACAGGTTGCTCATCAGATTCATAAGCCATCAATAGCATAGGTTCATCATCAGAATCTCCTCTGGCTATTTTTGCTTCTTCTTTATTTGACCAACAATCTTTAGCAAAGTGGCCAAACTAATTACAACAATAACACTGAACCATTCTCTTGTCATATGTCTATTTTCCCTTTTGATGTTTCTTCTCATCAGAGTAGAAGACTTTTGACTTCTGAGACCTACCATATTTTTTCTTCTTGTGGTCCTTCTTGACAAAAGAAGCCTTCAGAGCCTGCTCAACTTCCCTCTCAGAAGTTCTTTCAGTCAGACGCAACTCTTGCGCCTCTAGACTACTTTGCAGCTCTTCTATTCTCATGGTGTCCATATTTTTAGAATGTTCAATTACTACAACAGTGTAATCAAATTGGGGAATAAGAGACCTCAATATCTTTTCAATGATTACTTGTTCAGAAAGGGTTTCTCCACAAGCTTTCATCTTATTAGTGATCAAAATCACTCTAGAGATGTACTCAGAAACCTCCTCGTTATCCTTCATGTTGAGATTCTCATACTACTTTCTAAGAGACTGAAGCTTCACGTTCTTCGCTAATGTGTTACCACCGTAACACCTACTCAATGTTTCCCACTCAGCCTTTGTCGTCATTGAATCAACAATTTTCTCAAACACATTCTCATTCACACGCTGATGGATGAAGAACAACGCCTTCTAATCTTTCTTCCTTGTATATATCTATGCATTTCTCTGTTCCTCTGTCGCAATTTGCTACAACTGGGATATATCCATCGTTGCCGACATTAAAAACATCTTGACCACCAAATAACACACGCATCTGAATCATCCAACGATTCCAGTTTTTGCCATTAAATACTGGAAGCTTAGTGCTTAGACTACCGTTTCTGGTCATCTTCAATCTTGTGCAAGTCACTCAGATCTCACAAATACATTGTTTTCCAATCCCACGGAATCAGAAAATGTGATTCTGTTCATATATTTTGTTCAGGATTCAACACGAATTCAAGAACTAAAATCAATCACACAACGTCTCACCGTTTCACTCGTGTTTCCCGTGAATCCCTGTGAATCGGAGCTCTAGATACCAACTTGTTGGTGCACAAGGTTAATAAATGAATAAAAGGGTATGAGAAAATAATATTAAAGCTCTGTAATGACGACTATAAAGTTGTAAGGAAGAATGATTGAAATTTTTTATGACAGCTACCACTAATATATTTATATACAAACTAAATTGCCACGTAGGCCCTAACAAAAGTAAACTTAATAACTAAGCAAACTAAACTTAATAGCTATGCTAACAAAAGAACTAGAACACCAGGAGCTAAACATACTTTTGAGCGTAACCTCTGAAGCTTCTGCTTCTGACTAACAACCTCATAAGATTTACTGCTTCTGAGCAATACTGCCTCTGAATAACAACATCAGAAGCTTCTGATTCTAACAACCGCTTCTGAATATGAATTACTTCCAACCATAGGAAATGAAAATAAAAAATAATTGAAAGCTAATTAGTTTAATTTAAGAACCCAGGTTCTCTTCCCAACTTGTAATTCCGTTATATCTTATACTTTATATAAAATACCCTATAGGTTAACCCCTAGCTAGGTTTGATATATGTTGTTTTAAAATTTTGAAAAATTTCAATTGAAGAAATTAATGGAATGAGTCGCAAAACAGTTCGCTCTCTTTAAAACGTTTCGTGGCACTATCTAAAATTATGCAAAGTCATGAAATTATCGCACGGTCTAAAAGATAAAACAACGCAGTTCTATAATATATGATTACTAATTGCATGGTAGATAATTGATTTAGAAATACACTCTCTGATGGCACAAAAGTCAGTCAATAATGGTGTTAAAACCACTCGTAGTATCCGGTATAAGACCACCTCCAATGGTGGTTTTTCAGATTGGTTTGTCAGCTTGGCATTGAAATTGTCAACAAAAAATTTATTCCAGCTGGTGAACGGTACAAATATAAGCAACGGCTCTTCATATTTTTTTATTATCAAAATAATCAATTAGCTGTTGTGCAACGACTTTATTTTTTTATTTTTTATTTTAAACTTTTTTTTATTTATTATAAATATAGGTTTGTTGGAAAATTGTATACCAATCCTATTTTCTCTCACTTTTATTTACTCTTTAATTTCAAATTTCTCTCTCACAATTTCATCATTTTATTCATAAATTTTTAATTTTTTTCCAACAATTTCTTCTCATTATCATTTTATTTCAATTTTTCATCTTTTTATTTCAAATTACATTTGTTTAGGCCAAATGGATCCTAATCATTTTCATTATCAACAAGCTATGTTCAATTTCATGCAAAATTATCAAAATCCTAATTCTCAAAATTCTCAAATTCCATCAGTACCACCAAACCCCGCCATATTTTTTCCGTCACCAAACAATCCAAATATGTATCAAAATCCTAATCCTCAAAATTCTCAAGTTCCACCATTTTCTACTCAAGTTGGTGTTGAAAAAGAAGAAAGGGTTCTCGTTAAAAAAAAAATCTCGACAGCAATTTACAAGGGATGAGGATATATGTCTTATCCAATCATGGCTCAATGTTTCAAAGGATCCAATTGTGGGAGTTAATCAAAAAGCTGAGAGTTTTTGGCATAGAATCGCTGCAAATTATAACCAGTATCGCGGGCAATTGCGAGAAAAGTTAAGTGGTCAATTAAAATGTCGATGGCATCGAATAAATGTGTTGGTTCAAAAATTTGTTGGGTGTTATAGACAAGCTGTCAATGGAAAGAAAAGTGGGACATCGGAGAACGATATCATGGCTGCTGCACATGCTTTTTATGCTCAAGATCAAGGTACAACATTCAATCTTGAGTATGCATGGCGATTGTTAAAAGATGAAGCTAAATGGGGCATCATCGGAGAATCGATTGGAAATTCTTCAAAAATGAC